AGGTATTCGTGTTTTCATGTTCTGTGGATAAGTACCCAGCAGTGGAATAGCTGGATTGTATGGTAATTCTATTGTTAATTTTTTGAGGAATCTCCATACTGTTTTCCATAGTCGTTGTACCAGTTTGCACTCCCACCAGCAGTGTATGAGAGTTCCCTTTTCTCCACCTTCTCTCCTACAGTTGTTGTTTCCTGTCCTGTTAATGCTCCTGGACTCTTATTTTTTGGGAGGTTTTTGATTACTCTTTCCATCTCCTTATTGGTGATCAGTCTATTCAAATTCACTGTTTCTTCTTGATTCAGTTTTGGAAGGTTGTATGATTCTAAGAATTTATCCATTTCTTCTAAATTATCCAATTTGTTGGCATATAGCATTTTGTAGTATTCTCTTACAATCTTTTGTATTTCTGAGATGTCCATTGTAATTCCTCCTTTTTCATTTCTGATTTTATTTATTTGAGCCTTCTCTGTTTTTTTCATGGTGAGATTAGCTAAAAGTTTGTCAATTTTGTTTATCTTTTCAAAGAACCAGCTCTTGGTTTCATTGATTTTTTTCTATTTTATTTTAGTCTCGTTTTCATTTATTTCTGCTCTGACTTTTATTAGTTCCTTCTACTGATTTTGGGCTTTGTTTGTTCTTCTTTTTCCAGTTCCTTTAGGTGCTCTCTTAGATTGCTTATTTGAGGTTTTTCTTGTTTGTTGAGGTAAGCCTGTATTGCTGTAAACTTCCATCTTAGAACCGCTTTTGCTGTATCCCATAAATATTAGCATGTTATATTTTCCTTTTCATTTGTCTCCAGATATTTTTTGATTTCTCCTTTGATTTCTTCATTGACCCAGTTGTTGCTCAGTAGCATTTTGTTTAATCTCCACATTTTTGTGGCTTTTCTAATTTTCTTCCTGTAGTTGATTTCTAGTTTCATACTGTTGTGGTCAGAAAAGATGCTTGGTATTATTTCAGTCTTCTTAAATTTATTGAGACTTGTTTTGTGGCCTAATATGTGATCTGTCCTGGAGAATGTTCCATGTGCACTTGAAAAGAATGTGTATTCTGTGGGTTTTGGATGGAATATTCTGTATATACCTACTAAGTCCATCTGGTCTTATATGTCATTTAAGGCCAGTGTTTCCTTTTAGATCTGTTTGGATGATCTATCCATTGGTGTAAGTGGAGTGTTAAAGTCCCCTACTATTATTGTGTTACTATCTATTCCTCCTTTTATGTCTGTTAATAGTTGCTTTATATATTTAGCTGATGCTGTGTTGGGTGCATAGATATTTACAAGTGTTATATCCTCTTGTTGGATTTTTCCCTTTATCATTATGTAGTGCCCTTCTTTGTCTCTTGTTACAGTTTTTGTTTTAAAGTCTATTTTGTCTGATATAAGTATTGCTACCTCAGCTTTCTTTTCTTTGCCATTTGAGTGGAGTATCTTTTTCCATCCCTTCACTTTCAGTTTGTGAATGTTTTTAGGTCTGAAGTATGTCTCTTGTATGCGGCATTTACATAGGTCTTGTTTTTTAATCCAGTCAGCCACCCTATGCCTTTTGATTGGAAAGTCTGTTGACATTGAAAGTAGCTGTTGATAAGTATGTGCTTATTGCCATTCTGTTACTTTTTTTCCTGGATGTTTTAGTAGTTCTTCTCTGTTACTTTCTTATTCTCTTGCTCTCTTCCCTTGTGATTTGATGGCTTTCTTTAGTATTATGTTTGGGTTCCTTCCTTTTAATTTTTTGTATATTTTAGGTTTCTGATTTGTGATTACCATGAGGTTCATATATGATAACCTACATATATAGCAATCTGTGTTATGTTGATGGTCTCTGTAGTTTGACCTCTTGCTAAAAGCTCTACTCTTTTACTCCCCTCCTCCCACATTTTATGTTTTTGATATCATATCTAACCTCTTTTTTTGTGTCTGTGTATCAGTTACCCTCTTATCATGGAAATAGATAATTTTATACTTTTGTCTTTTGACCTTCATATTATCTTTATAGGTGGTTAATCTGTTACCTTTATTGTATATTTGCCATTACCAGTTATATTGTTGCTTTTTTTTTTTTTCTAAATCATTTTCTTATTCCTATTTGTGGTCTTCTCTTTCCCACATAAATAAGTCCCCTTAGCATTTCTTGTAAGACTGGTTTCTTGGTGATAAACTCCTTTAGTTTTTGCTTGTCTAGGAAACTCTTTATCTCTCCTTCCATTCTGAAAGATAACTTTGCCAGGTAGAGTACTCTTGCCTGTAGGTTTTTTCCTTTCAGCACTTTAAATATATTGTGCCACTCCCTTCTAGCCTGTAAAGTTTCTACTGAGAAGTCAGCTGATAACCTTATGGGGTTTCCTTTGTGTGTAACTTGTTGCCTTTCTCTTGCAGCTTTTAGGATTCTCTATCTTTAATTCTTGATCTTTTAATTATAATGTTTCTTGGTGTGGGCCTCTTTGGGTTTATCTTGTTTGGTGCTCTCTGTGCTTCCTGTACCTGGATGTCTGTTTTCTTCCTTAGGTTAGGAAAGTTTTCAGCTGTTATTTCTTCAAATAGATTCTCTGCCTGTTTATCTTTCTCTTCTCCTTCTGGGACACTTATAATATGTATGTTAGTGCACTTGGTCTTGTCCCAGAGGTCCCTTAGACTGTTCTTATTTGTTCTAATTCTTGTTTCTTGTATCTGTTCAGCTTGGGTGATTTCCTCTAATCTTTTATCCAGCTCACTGATCTGTTCTTCTGTATCATCTACTCTGCTATTGAGTCCCTCTAGTGAATTTTTCATTTCCAGTATTGTATTCTCCATTTCTGATTGGTTATTTTTTATATTTTCCAATTCTTTGTTGAAGTTCTGAGTTCATCCATTCTTCTCTCAGGTTCAGTGATCATCCTTGTGACTTTTTGTTTGAACTCTTTGTTGGGTAGATTGTTTATTTCTGTTTTATTTAGTTCTTTTTCTGAAATTTTGTCCTGTTCCCTCACTTGCAATGTGTTCCTCTGTCTCCTCATTTGCCTCTTTCCCTGTGCTTATATCTATGTGTTAGGTGAGTCATCTACATCTTCTGATCTTGGAGAGGTGGCCTTATGTAAGAGATGCCTATGAGCCCCAGCAGTATGCTTCCCCCCATCAGCAGTTCCAAATGTTCCAGGAGTGTCCCCTGTGTGAGTTACATGTGTCCTCCTGCTGTGGCAGGGTTGCTGTTGCTGCAGGGAGTTTAGGCTGTCCCCCTGGCCAGCTGGTTGTAATGCTCAGCTGCATGTGCCTGCTCTGGACCCTTCAGTCACTTTATTGGGTTTGGGGAGCCCTGGCACAGTTGGCTGCAAGGTCTAATAGCACATTCCTGTTGCAGTTTTTAAGTTAAGTGAGTAGGCCCCCAGTGTGGCTGGTTGCTAGGCTCAGGGGCTTACAACTGCTATAGGTCTCCAGCCTGCAAGGCTCTTGTCACCTCTCTCAGGATCTCAGTTGAGTGGGGCTGGCCCCAGGCATGGGAACACTCAGTTGTTTCAGGCTTTGGAAGGTGAGGCCAATCCCCTATGTGACTGTTTGTGTTGCAGAAGTTTGTTGCAGCTTCCAAGCCCCACTGCCCACAGGGCCACATACCTGGTCAACACAGTCCTGCCCCATGCATGTTCCCTGACCCACTGAAGTAGACCCAGTCACCCCACTGCAGAGGCCCCAAACACTCCACCAATGCCCCACACATTCCACCCACTCTTCAAGCGTGTCCTGCCCCTCAGAAGTGGAGCCACTCACCTGGCTGCAGAAGTTCTCTGCACTCTGCCTGTGTGGGCCCACAAGTTGCCTGAGGGCTTGCTGTTGGGTGGGGCCAGGCCTTAGGGCAGGCTGCCCGCCCTGGCTGAGCTGGATTAGATTGGTGCTCTAGGGGTGATGCAGACCCTGGGCTAACAGGCCAGGGGGAGAACTCCAATGGCATCTGCCAGCATCTGTGTCAGAATGCCTGTACTAGGTTACAGTAATGGCTGCTACCAATGTCTCAGTCCCTGAAGAGATCTCACCTCTCACTTAGATGCACCCAGAGCCTATCTGTGTACCTTTCTTTCTGGTGATTTTAGTTTGCTTTCCGAAATGGGTGAATTGTGGGCCCTTTAAGAGCAGGCTTACCCCCCTTATATCCAACAGCTTTTTGGGGGGTATTTCCCATTGTAGTTAGTAGCCAGCAAAGCCAGATATTATGACACTTGTCTCAGTTGTGCTGGGTCCAAAAGCTGCTTATAGCAGTCATACTCACCTGCACAGGTCCGCCACTCCTCCAGAGAAGCCTTCGTACCTTAAGATCACTCCTGGCTAGCTGTTAAGTGCCATGGCTCGCAAAGGTGGCTTTTTTTACCCTCCAGAAAGGAATTTCTAACTCAGTCAGGACTGTCTTTTGTTGTGGGGGTTCTTTTTATCCAGTTTTCAGTTCTCTCTCTGGGGCAGTTGTTCCAAGAGTAGTTGTAAATTTGTTGTGTCTGTGGGAGGAGGTCAGTTCAGAATCCACCTATGCTGCCGTCTTAACACTGTCCCTGCTCAGTCTGTTTTCTAATAATTTGCATTATGATGGCTTCTATTACAGTAGCAGTTTAAGGTGTTGGAATATAAACTATGAGATGAAAGCACTACTTTTTTGAAGCACTGTTGAAGATAAAGGTTATTAGGAAGTTAAATTGAAAATCACAAGTTTAATTTTAAGTACTGTTCTTGTATTAACATTTACTTTATAGATACCAACCAGAGAACAATAAAATGAGCATTCTCATTCCAAGGAAGAAATTTGTATTAATTTTCATCATGAGAGTCTTTGCACGTGTCTTCCACGCTCTGTAGTTTCTCTTTTTGGTCCTTTCCTTTATTCTCCCACCAACACCTTCCCCTCCCCACCCTCATTTTTAAATCTCCAGGCAAAGAGCAGATTAGCATAAAAATCTGTATGGCTTAATTCAGTGTAAGAATCACTTTAGTTTTGCTACTAGTATTTGGTCTCAAACATTCAAGCGTGATGTGTCTTTGGTTTTAGGAAGGCTGGTTTCGGATAGCTGAAAATATGGGATTTCAGTGCCTAAAGATTGAGAGCAAGGATCCCCGGCTAGATGGGATAGACTCGCTTTCTGGAACTGAAATCCCCCTGCACTACATCTGCAAATTGGCCGCTCATGCCATCCACTTGGTGGTCTTTCATGAGAGGAGTGGCAACTACCTCTGGCACGGCCACCTGCGACTCAAAGGACACATCGACAGGAAATTTGTTCCTTTTCGAAAGTTACAGTTTGGTCGTTACCCTGGAGCTTTCGACAGGTAAGTTTGGGGTGTAAAGGGGAAATGTGAAACCTATATTGTCCGCTCATGAATTCTTGCTCTTTTTTACATTTAGTAATGAAATCTAATATATAATTCACAATAATCAGTTTTGAAAGGTAAATACTCAACAGGAAGAAACTCATGCACTTGTACACCAGGAAATATATATAAGAATGTTCATAGAAATGTTCTAATGACCCCAAACAAAACGTTGTATATTCCTAACAGTGAAGTCCTGTAGAGCTAGGAAATGAATGAGCTAGTACCCTGTGCAACAACGTACATGAATCCTACCTTGGTGAGTGACAGAAGCAAGGCATAAAAGCAGACAAATCTTATGATTTATAAAAAGTTCAAACACAGGATAAAGTATGTTCATGGATGTATACTTGCATAGTAAAAGTGGTCAAAAGGTACAAACTTCCAGTATTAAGATCAATAAATTCTAGGGATGTAATGTACAGCATGGCGACTATAGTTAATAATACTATATTGTATATTTGAAAGTTGCTAAGAGAATAGTTTTTAAAAGTTCTCATCACAAGAAAAAAAATTTGTAACTTTGTGAGGTGATGGATGTTAACTAAGCTTATTGTGGTAATCATTTCATGATATATACATATATCAAATCATTATCTTGTATGCCTTAAATGAATACAATGTTATATGTCAAGTATAGCTCAGTAAAACTGCGGGTAAAAAGTAAAAAAGATAAATATATGTAATAATAATATAATACGAAAAAAAAAGAAAAGAGTAAGGAAGAGACACCAGAAAAGACAAAAGAGGATTCCTCTCTAGGGCGATGGATGGAGTGTGATCTGGTAGGACATAGAGAACTGAAGGGAAACTGAAGAAATTCCGTTTCTGTGGTGGATACATGGATGTTTGGCTTCATAATTCATTATTTTGTGCCTTTATGTTTTATGTGCTTTCCCGTATATTTTTTAAAAACTATGTGCAAAAATATATCCTTAGCTGTCACTTAACGATAAAAAGGTTTCATATGAGAAACAGTTATTTGCAGGGACTGATGTAAAATTTGATGAGCTATAGTTTATGATATTAACAGTTGCAGGATAAAAAAGATACTCTTGAAGTTAGACATTGAGTACCAAGTTTCTGACCGAGAGTGGCACGTTTTCTCCTTTTGAAGTCACTAATGGTGATGTTACAGTGTGCTTTGAATACTAGAATCTGACGTGAAGGTAGCAGTAAACATTTCTCTTTTGCCTTAAAGTTTACCATATTTATAAGAATTTTCATATTGAAAACTCTTTATTGGCAACTTCCAGGGAGACATTTCTCATTTGTTACACTTGAGAAGTGTAAGAGTATGTTTATTCTTGCCTTGTTATTAATACTTAAAATCGCATATTTGAGAAACAACTGAAAAGGGTATTCAAAACTGGAGACTTCTACATTTTTTGTGTGTATATGAAGTCAAACCTTTTCTGATCCAACCCAAAAATTTTTGAAATGTAATCACCAAAAAAAAGTAAAAGTGAAAAAAACCTTTATTATTAATATTGGCTCCTTTTATTAATGATTTTAGTCTTTTTTTTTTTTAAAGATTAGCACCTGAGCTTAACATCTGTTGCTGATCTTTTTTTGTCTTCTCCCCAAAGCCCCCCAGTACATGCTTAGAACATACATGTATATTCTAGATCTGGGTCCTTCTGGCTCTGATATGTGGTACACTGCTTCAGCATGGCTTGATTAGTGGTGCCATGTCCGCGCCCAGAATCTGAACTGGTGAAACCCTGGACCGCTGAAGCGGAGCACGTGAACTTAACCACTTGGCCAAGGGGTCAGCCCCCTAGTCAAAATCTTGTCACTATTCTCTTACCACTTGTATGTCTATTTTTTCTCATGCTATATTTCAAATAAGCTTATTTAGGAAGATATTACTTTTTAGTTTTTTAAAGCCTTGAAAATTTATTTCAAAGTTTACTAATTCAATAAAGTTCAAATTGGTCAGTCAATAAATGCTTATTAAATATATGTGTTCCAGTTCTTAGATAAAAAATCCATTTCTACGTTACATAATTTTATATAAAGAGGAATAGGAAACACTCAAAGAATATTTGTAGCGTATGGGATCCCAGATGAATAAGACTAATTCCCAGATTTGCATTTTGCTTACTAATGAGACGTTCTCTCAGGCTGTTGTAATTTACTCATGTCTTAAGTGTTAAGAACATTTATTCTTCTGAAAGTATATTGGTAGTTTAAAGTTCTGTCACAACTTTCCTTGCTTTAAATGCCAAGGTATATACAAGTAAGTGCAAAAATGTTCTAAAATACATTAACCAAAATACTTAAACTCAATAGCTGTTTGATGTCAAATTTTCAGGTCTTATTGAAGACCTAGGTTAATTAGAGACCTAAGCTAATAAACATCTGAGGTAATTGAAGAAAATATGCTTGACGTTTAGCTGTTTTGCTTATGTTGTATATTTTAAAGAGGCTGCCAGTATTCTGGGTTAAGTCCTTGTAATAAATCTTAACTTTTGTTTTCAGGCCAGAGCTACAACAGGTTACTGTTGATGGACTAGTCCTTCTCATTCCAAAAGATCCAGTGCACTTTCTCGAAGAAGTACCACACTCTAGGTTTATTGAGTGCAGGTATAAAGAAGCTCGAGCATTCTTTCAGGTTAGAGATAACCACATATTGTGCTTTGTAAATTAAAGGAAATGTGTTTATTTTTAATATTTCTGGGGGAGAAATGCAGGAACTTATGAAAAATAGGTAAGAAAATATCTGTTTCGATTCATCTATTTTCTTCTAGCTTGTTTTGTTTTAATTTTTAAAAAGTAGGTTAAATATTAACCTTAAGAGACTATTTCTTGCCTAGTTGAATGGTTTGGTATTTCTGGAGACCTTGTTTTATTTGGATAGACTCTGATAGCTTTAGCACTTGCCTCTGCTTTCAGTTAAGAGAGCCCATAAACTTTATAGAAGATGGTGTATTCTGTTCTCGAAGCAATCCAAGCAGGATGAAGCCGCTGTAGAAGATGGACTGTCTGCATTTAGAAAAGATTTCATGGAAAATAGAGTTTTTCTCAGAGGATTGGCACTGAATGTGAATTTTTTGTGTGTTTATGAAGGTTTTTGAAGGTAAATGCTATACAAAGACCAGGTACTTTTGAACTTTACTTTATTCTGCTGCTCTAGCTTTCAATTCAATAAACATTTATTGAAAGCTTGTTTCCCAGGAACTCTGCTGACCCTGGGGATATAAGGGTGGTTTGAAGGGCATGAAAGTTCAGCTCTAAGAGATGACATGACACAGAGATACAGTGAAAGCAGTCAAATTTACAGTGGGGTTTGGGTACCCTAATCCTTCCACTTGCCCTTTATTTTCTGGGGTTCCCTTCCAAGAAAGCTGTGTATACAAGGACAGGAGCGGAATGGGAAAATGAAGGACCAGCTCTACCATCACTGGCCAAGAGCAAATGCAAGGTTTTTCTGGTAGGCTGTGCTGGCACCCAGGACCTAGGCCTGACAACCCGAGTGGGCCTTCCTAGCCCTATTCCCTTAAACGTGTAATTGTGGAGCTGTGAAACATACTCAGTCAGCTTCGTGGATGTGAGCCGGACAACCACAAGTGTGGACGGGCCTGCCCTAGTGGGCAGGTGCTGCCCATCATATCCCCACCATAGAGTAACAGGAAGCAGAAGAGGTGCGCGCTGTTGCTTGAACCTGACCGCTCCCTCTTCCTGCCTTAAGGGAGTTTGTCCTGGCTGCCGCCTCTGGCATAGCGGTTATCACAATGAGTTGTGAATGTCTGCCTTGTCCCCCTAGTGGATTATGTGAACTTCTTGATGGTAGGCACTGGATTTTATTCACCACTGTAGCCCCGATATCTAGCACAAAGAAAAGATCCTATAATTATGGAAAAATTCATGGAGAATAAGGTGCTCATCTGAGTCAAATGACTTTTTTAGGACACTTACTAGAGCTACTCCATTACCTAGCAAGCCTTTGCCCAGACCCATTTTGATGATCTTTGCGGGAAGGCAGTGTAAGACGTAAAATGTTTGAGAAAATTGAGAAATAATCAGGGTAGTGCCGTATTTTTTAGTTCCATATTTCATTCTTGCTTTTGAAATTTTAAGGGCCAGCACTCAATCAGCCGTTGAGTCAGGAATATGGGTGATAGATGCTCAGAGGGCCTATCAGCTTTCCATGACCTCATAGTTTTGGTGTTTAGAGTACCCTCACGTGGCAAGACTGTAATGCTATCTGGAGGTTTATATTCATAACAGGAGCAGGTGGAACCTGTATTCATTCGCCATCATGTTATTTAAATGTGCCCTTCACTTGCAGCAAGATGCACTTGTGATCCCTAATTTGTTTTTTCTCTTCTGCTAATGTATTGGTGTTACTGATAGAGAGTTTCAGATGGGATTGATAACCTTTTGTTATCCTTATCCTCTTACATGTTTCCTTCTTCGTCATTTCTTAGGTTAGAACCATGATTAAAATTACCAGGGGGGTCAGTTTTCAAATTAGGATGAACATACACAACTTTGACCACTTGATGGCGCCAAACTGTCTTAAATACAACGCCTGGTGTAAAACAAGTAGGAACTAATCTAATAGATCTCATTAAAGCAGCCTCTTGAACTTTCCTCTTTTAATACTAATTTTTTTTTTGGAAACATTCTCAAACTTTCAAAAAAGCTACAAATACAATACAAATAATTTTTTTTCCTGAACCATTTGGAAGTTGTCGACCATGTGCCCCACGACCTCAAATAATTAGGATTTCCTAAAAACAAGAATATTCTCCTTCATGTCTTACTATGAAAATCAGGAAATTAACACATGGATTATTACCACTTAATGCCCATTCAGGCTTTGCTAAATGCCCCCATAATGACCTTTATAATAAAAGGATGCACTTCAGAATCACATGCTGTATTTAATGTTTTAATTTTCCTGTCCCTTTAGTCTCCTTCAGTCTGGAACAGTTTCACAGTCCTTTTTTGACTTTCATGACTGATACTTTTGAAGATCACAGGCCACAGTTTTTATAAGTTGCCCCTCATTTGGGGTTTCTCGGGTTTTTCCTCATCTCAGTTCGTTTATACACTTTTAGTAGGAATAACACAGACGTGATGCTGTGCTCTTCTCATTACGTCCTGTCAGGTGCTTCGTGGTTTTGATTTGTCCCATTACTGCTGACATTCACAGTCATCACTTGATTAAAATGCTGTCTACCAGCTTCACCCTGGTGAAGTTTCTATTTTTTCCCTGTGTAATTAGTAGATATTTGGCATGATGATACTTTAAAACTATACATATATTGTCAGTATTCTCATCGAACTTTCCATTTATTTATTTATATCAGTATGCACTCATGGTTTCCTGTTTTATTGAATGGGTTATAGTCCATTATTTTCATTATTTATTTTGATCCTCAGATTGTTCCATATTTGGCCAGTGAGAACCCCTTTACGACAGCGTCTGCGTCTTTTTGACGTCTCCATCATTCTTTGAGCACTGTCTTGCTTTTGGCACATGATGTTCTGGGTTCATCTTATAATTTCCCTGCCACAACCCTTGAACCAGCCATTTCTCTGAGTTCTGGTTCCTTTTAGAAGCCACGATCTAGATGCCAGATGTGCTCATTGCCATTTGGGTTTTGCTGAACACAGGCCCTCTCACTGACAGGAGTAGAGTGTGTACGTGTGTGTATTTATTTTTATATCTATAAAGATCCATAAATTCATGTTACTATCTCTAGTCTAATTAATTTATGTTTCAATTAAACAGGATAGGGTTCATTTCCATATTTATAATTCCCTTCTCAAACAGTGAGAAACCTGACTCCTATTATCCTTAATGTTTTATTTGTTCAATATTCCATCATTTCTGCTGCCCCCTCTCCCATGTGGATGCTGTCCTCACCCTACTTGGGTATTGCTCTCCCCCACTGGGCTGTCCTCATATATAGATACACTTCTCACCCTCCTCAGGGCCTGACTCCCCACACTGGACACCCCCTCCGTGGGGATGCCCTCATCCCTTGCTCGGGCTCTGATACCCATCCCAGGCCGCTGCTGTGCTTGCTCTGCCTTACCTAATGGGTCTAGTTTGGAATATTTCAGGAAGGGAGGGGGAAGAGAAGAGGAAGTGCTGTCTGACTTTATTTACTTTTAATTATTTTCTCAATTTACTAAGAAGTTTAAAACTAGGATAATATACATTTTCCTGAACCTGATTTTGTCTTAGCAGTAACCATCAAAAAATAATTAATGAGCTTTAGTCTGTCGAATTCTGGTGAAAACCCAGGGGGGAATCTGGAAATATCTGGACACCTGACCTAGGAATATCTAGAATGCTATATTCTTATTCTCCTTCTTCTACCAATTTGCTCTGAGACTTTGGGCAAATTTCTGAGCCTTAAGTTTCCTTATCTATAAGATGAGTGGGTACTTTGTGTCACCTTATTTATTTATTTATTTATTGAGGAAGATCAGCCCTGAGCTAACATCCATCGCCAATCCTCCTCTTTTTGCTGAGGAAGATTGGCCCTGAGCTAACATCTGTGCCCATCTTCCTCCCTTTTATACGTGGGACACCTGCCACAGCATGGCTTGTTAAGCAGTGTGCATGTCTGCGCCTGGGATCCTAACCTGTGAATCCCAGGCCACCGGAGTGGAACATGTGAACTTAACTGTACACCACCGGGCTGGCCCCGGTCACCTTATTATCTTTAATCTATGTTTTGGAGAAAGGTTTGGGGAAAGGTTGCCTGAAAAGGAAAGATCAAATGGATATTTAAATTAGGATTTTGTCTTTTTCTAGAGGCATGGTAATCCCAAGATTTATATAAGACATTTTTAAATGAAAAAAAAAAGTATATATACTGTGATTTTTAAAGTCCATAACAGATATATAAGGTATACAGGTTTACACATATATCTGCTTTAATACATATGAGGGTCAGTTCTAAGAAGTGGAATTTCTGGGAGTGTCATGTTAGGAAAGGTGTGTCAAAGGTGGGAGTATGTCCATGCAGCATGCAGCCTCAGTAGGATGTAACTATCAGAGTGATGTTTTTGTAGAGCACAGAGTTTTTGTATCTGTTATTAAATTTGATCTTTTCAGTCAATCTGTGAAATAAGGCAAGTATTTGCTTTTAACTGATAAGAAAACTGAGGTTTCATGGTGTTAGTTACACTGTCGTAATTGTCTGAGTGTGGACTGAATCCTGGGTCAGCTAGCTCCAGGCTTTTCCCACTACAACAAGGATACGAACATGCATCTCTCCTTCCAGTCCTGTGTTCGAAGAGCAGTTCTCGTTCTGAGGATGTTTTCATTTTGAAGGGATCCCATATAATTTCTATATTCTGGAGAAGGCTGTTTATCTTCAGTAACCCCACTTTCTTCATCTTCATGGGACCTTTTGCTTAAGATCCCATAGTCCTTCTAGGAACTGTATTTCTTCCTGCTGTATTGTAAAGAAAATGACAGGATATCTTAGGATATTGTAGGCACAGGAGGGGCTTAGTCAATCATTTATTCATTTTTTCATTTATCAATATGTGTTGCTCACAGACTGTGTGCCAGGCACCATTCAATATTTATACATAGAGTGACGGAGAGATTCAGTACCTGCCTTCAAGGAACCATCTTTACAGTCTAGTGGGGGAAATCTAAATAAAATCAACAATTAAAATTAAACGTGATAAGAATTACTGTAAAAGTGTATCCAAGTGGTAACTATTATAAGCTCATTGAACAGATTATTTAATTTGTCTTTGTCTATATCTAGTACCTAACATAATTCTATACCCTCTAAATGTTGAACTGAAGAGGAGCACTGGGAGAATAAATGGCATATGTCTTCCTGGGAAAATCCGAGAATGTTTCTCAGAAGGTGGAACTGAGACTTGAAAGATTTTGTTAGTCAAGGACATTTCAGACAAAGGAAACAGCATGTATAAAATGGCACAGAGGTTTGAAAAGTCATGGTGTATTTGGGGAGTTACAAGTTATTGCTGTAATATGAAGTATGAAGAGCGTGGGGATGAGGCTGGACCGGTAGTCAGGGAGCAGAACGCAACTGTCCTTGTCTGCCATGCCAGGAAGTTTGGATTTTGTCCCATGGGTAGTGAAGCATCACTGAAGAGTTTATAGTGCTTTCCTCAGTTCCAGAACACCCTACAAATGAAGAAAAGCACAAAGCAGGAAGACTACGTAAATGACTGTTATTTGTATAGAACTTCACAATTTGTGAGACATTTTTCTGTCATCCATTATTTCATTAAATCTTTACAGCAAGCATGTTATTATCCTTTAATTACTGATGAGGAAATTATGTCTCAGAGAAGTTTGTTCTTTCATTCTCTCATTCATTCAGCAGATCTCCAGGCACTGCTCTAGGCACTGGAGGTACAGTGATCAACAAAAATCCTCATGGAGCTTATATTCTTCTGAGGTGAAAGGCCCAGCGGCACAGCTAGAAAGAAGTGCGGCTAGATACGAACATGGATAATCTGATTCAAAACCCCGGGCCCTTTCTACTATAATATACAGTCTTTAAAGACCAATTGTGTCAGCGAGTGATGAAAATGTCGTTGAATGCATTTTGCTTCAGATATGCTTGTAGCTCTCATAGTTGGGCCTCTTTTCCCCTAACTGCCCAATCTGCTAAACTGTGGTGGCGGGAGGGAGTTGATAAAGGCGTAAGTCTCGTTCTTTGGGAATGCTGGTTATATTCCTTCTCCTTTAACTTGTCTCTCCTAGAATCTACTCTTATAGTCTTATTTTAGAAAATAAATATGTGACTAACAAGGAACTCTGAAACTTGATTTTTATGATAGAAAAATATTTAATATGGGGTTAATTTTCAGATTTAATTTAGATATTTCTAGCAGTTTAGAAATGGCTATAATAGCTGACTGCTTATTATATCTGCAGCAGTACCTTGATGATAACACTGTGGAAGCTGTGGCCTTTCGGAAGAGTGCAAAGGAATTGTTGCAACTAGCAGCCAGAACATTGAAGAAATTGGGAGTGCGGTTCTGGCTGAGCAGTGGAACTTGTCTAGGTAAAACTCTTGGTGCTTTTCATTTGTTCTTTTGTCATTTCATGCTCTTTGGCTTTAGGGATGACTGCTTGAGATGACAAAATATCGGTGATACTCGAAGTGTCATATTTATAGACAGAATAAACACAGTGCATGGAGCAAGGATTTATTGATTTCTTTAAAGAAATTAATTCCAGAAACACAAAGGTCGGAAGGCCATGTTTGTGTTTACCAAAAATTATAATTTGTGTATATAAAACTTATATCAGAACATGTAGACTATATTTGATTCTCAGGTAATCTTAACATTAGCATTTTATTATTTCTCTCCAAAGATTGTTATTGCCTTCAAAACAGAACTTCTATTCTGTTTCTTTACTTACACACCACACACACAACTTGCATTGCACCAGAAGTTTCTGCTGAGAGGAAGGTGGAAGGGGGTGTGGTAAGGTCTTCCGTCAGCCTTTTCCGGGTCATTGATCGTGTCACTGCTGAGGCGTCACTGCCTTCCCACATTCTGTTCATTCTGAGGTGGGGAAGCGTGGACTTTCCAGAGCCCAGAGACAGGTTGCTATTAGACTCTGTGAAAGATTTCTGGATCTCTTTTCACTATACATTAGATCAAACTTCTTTGGATTTTAGAATTATTTAGAATCTTAAGTTTTGTTGTTTTTATTCCTTCTTGTTTATAACTGTACTTGGTTGTAACTGTAATTGTTCTTTCTTGATTATAACTGTATTTGTACAAAAATTAATTCTGCTCCTGCTTTTATAGAGTTACCATATAATTTATTGTCCAATTCAAGGGATTTTTGAGTGTGAAAGGGAGTGCCATTAATAATTATGTTGGTACAACAGGCATAAACTGGGATATGTGGTTATCCTACCTATGAGGCTTTGTGGAAAATTCATATGGTTCTTCCTGTCTAGGAGCTTACAGCTAGAATAAGCCAAAAAAAGAGTACGTCTTACACATTTATGTGATATATACTTTAAGGGTTAACTTTTTGAAGCAAGATTGTTTTATAGACTATCATCTGGAATGCTTCTTAATAGTCATGGTTTGTTTTGAGTTTTTAGCCCCATGGGTTGTCTTGCTTTAAGGGCATTTATAAAATGAGGGAGTAAAGACTAGATGATATTTAAGGAGCCTTCCTTTTTTAATAGTTTATTATTTTTTGTTAGATGTGAATTACAGATTTTTCTCAAACTAAAGGTGAGACCTCATCCTAGGCTTCTAAAGATCTATGTTAAAATGGAATTAAAGTTTAGAATTCCAAGCAGTATGCCCAATAGCAATGCCTATAAAGATAATCGTAGATTTTTATTTACTTTTTGAATAATCTGAATGGAAGGATTAGAAGGATAATAGGGGAGACCCAGGAGCCCTTAGTAATATTAAAGTATAAATTTTCTTTTTTAGAAAATACTATAGCACCTAATTGAGAAGTAGATACATAGTAAATACCTAGAAATATATTTTGAGAGCGTGCTGAAAATTGAGGCTGATACTGCTCTTTTGTTTTCTTTCTTTTTCTTTTGTTTTGTTCTTTATTGAGTTCCTAATAGTTTACATCAATGTGAGATTTCAGTTGTACATTATTTCTTGTCTGTCACCACATTAGTGCTCCCCTTCACCCCCTGTGCCCACCCCCCACCCCCTTCCCCTGGTAACCACTGAACTGTTTTCTTTGTCCATGTATTTGTTTATATTCCACATATGAGTGAAATCATTTGGTGTTTGTCTTTCTCAGACTGGCTTATTTCTCTTAGCATAATTCCCTCCAGGTCCTTCCATGTTGTTGCAAATGGGATGAATTTGTCTTTTTTTATGGCTGGGTAGTAGTCCATTGTGTATATATACCATATCTTCTTTATCCAATCATCAGTCGATGGACACTTGGGTTGCTTCCATATATTGGCTATTGTGAATAGTGCTGCAATGAACATAGGGGTCCATATGCTACTTTGGATTGTTGATTTTAAATTGTTTGGGTTGATACCCAGTAGTGGGATAGCTGGGTTGTATGATATTTCTATTTTTAGTTTTTTGAGGAATCTCCATACTGTTTTCCATAGTGGCTGCACCAGTTTGCATTCCCGCCAGCAGTGTATGAGGGTTCCCTTCTCTCCACACCCTCTCCAACATTTGTTATTTTTAGTCTTAGTGATTATAGCCATTTTAACAGGCGTAAGGTGGTATCTTAGTATAGTTTTGATTTGCATTTCCCCGATGATTAGTGATGTTGAACATCTTTTCATGTGTTTATTAGCCATCTGTATATCTTTGGAAAAATGTCTGTTCATATCCTCTGCCCATTTTTTGATCAGGTTGTTTGTTTTTTTATTGTTCAGTTGTGTGAGGTCCTTGTATATTATGGAGATTAACACCTTGTCAGATATATAATTTGTAAATATTTTCTCCCAATTGGTGGGTTGTCTCTTTGTTCCGATTCTAGTTTCTTTTGCCTTGCAGAAGCTCTTTAGTCTGATGAACTCCCACTTGTTTATTTTTTCTTTTGTTTCCCTTGTCTGAGAAGACATGGTATTTGAAAAGATTCTTTTTAGTTTGATGTCAAAAAGTGTACTATCAATATTATCTTCCATGAGTTTTATAGTTTCAGGATGTATCTTCAAGTCTTTGATCCATTTTGAGTTTATTTTTGTGTATGGCGTGAGATAGTGGTCTACCTTCATTCTTTTGCATATGGCTGTCCAGTTTTCCCAACACCATTTATTGAAGAGACTCTTTTCTCCATTGTATGTTCTTGGCACTTTTGTTGAAGATTAGCTGTCCGTAAAGGTATGGTTTTATTTCTTGGCTTTCAGTTCTGTTCCATTGATTTGTGTGCCTGTTTTTGTACCAGTACCATGCTGTTTTGATCACGATGGCTTTGTAGTACATTTTGAAGTCAGGGATTGTGATACTTCCAGCTTTGTTCTTTTTTCTCAGGATTGCCTTAGCAATTTGGGTTCTTTGGTTGCCCCATATGAATTTTAGGATTCTTTGCTCTATTTCTGTGAAGAATATCATTGGGATTCTGATTAGGATTGGATTGAATCTGTAGATTACTTTGCATAGTATGGACGTTTTAACTATGTTTATTCTTCCAAACCATGAGCAAGGAATATTTTTCCATCTCTTTATGTCGTTATCAATTTCTTTCAGTAATGTCTTATAGTTTTCATTGTATAAGTCCTTCACCTCCTTGGTTAAATTTATTCCTAGGTACTTTGTTCTTTTAGTTGTGATCGCAAATGGAATTGTATTCTTGAGTTCTCTTTCTGTAGGCTCATTATTGGAGTATAGAAAAGCAACCAATTTTTGTAAGTTGATTCTGTACCCTGCAACTTTACTGTAGGTGTTAATTAAGTTTTTGGATAGATTTTGGGGTGTTTTCTATATATAAGATCACGTCACCTGCAAACAGCAAGAGTTTCACTTCTTCACTCCCTGTTTGGATTCCTTTTATTCCTTTTTCTTGCCTAATTGCTCTGGCTAAAACTTCCAGTACTATGTTGAATAAGAGTGGTAATAGTGGGCATCCCTGTCTTGTTCCTGTTCTCAGCGGTATGGCATTCAGTTTTTGCCCATTGAGTATGTTGGCTGTGAGTTTGTCATATATGGCCTTTATTATGTTGAGATAACTTCCTTCTATCCCAATTTTGCCAAGATTTTTTATCATAAATGGCTGTTGGATCTTGTCAAATGCCTTCTCTGCATCTATTGAGATGATCATGTGGTTTTTATTCCTCAATTTGTAGATGTGATGTATCACGTTGATGGATTTTTGGATGTTGAACCATCCCTGTGTCCCTGGTATGAATCTCACTTCATCATGATGTATGATCCTTTTGATGTATTGCTGAATTTGGGTTACCAACATTTTGTTGAGGATTTTTGCATCTCTGTTCATCAGTGATATTGGCCTGTAGTTTTCCCTTTTTGAGCGGTCCTTGTCAGGCTTTGGTATCAGTGATATTGGCCTCGTAGAATGTGTTAGGAAGTGTTCCATCTTCCTAAATTTTGGAATCGCTTGAGAAGCACAGATGTTAAATCCTCTCTGAAAGTTTGGTAAAATTCCCACAAAAGCCATCTAGTCCTGGGGTTTTATTATTTGGGATGCTTTTGATTACTGTTTCAATCTCTTTCCTTGTGATTGGTCTATTCAGATTGTCTGTTTCTTCTTATTTCAGCTTTGGGAGGCTCTAAGAGTCTAAGAATTTATCCATTTCCTCTAGGTTATCCATTTTGTTGGCATATGGTTTTTCATAGTATTCTCCTATAATCCGTTGTATTTCTATGGAGTCTGTTGTTATTTCTCCTTTTTCATTTCTGATTTTGTTTATCTGAGCTTTCCCTCTTTTTTTCTTTGTAAGTCTGGCTAGGGGTTTCTTGATTTTATCTTCTCAAAGAACCAGCTCTTTGTTCCATTAATCCTTTCTACTGCCTTTTTTGTTTCAATAACAGTTATTTCTGCTCAGACTTTTATTATTTCTCTCCTTCTGCTGACTTTGGACTTTGTTTGTTCTTCTTTTTCTAATTCAGGTAGGTATAATTTGAGTTTGCTTATTTGAGACTTCTTGTTTGTTAAAATGTGCCTGTATTGCAATGAATTTCCCTCTTAATACAGCTTTTGCTGCATCCCATATGAGTTGGTATGGTATGTTGTCATTTTCATTTGTCTCCAGATATTTTTTTATTTCTCCTTTAATTTCTTCAGTGATCCATTGGTTGTTCAGTAGCATGTTGTTTAGTCACCACATCTTTGTCCTTGTCTCAGCTTTTTTCTTGTTATTAATTTCTGGCTTTATAGCATTATGATCGGAAAAGATGCTTGTTATAATTCTTATGTTGCATTTCCTCATTGAGTCAGGTATTTCTCGAAGACTTTCTTCATTTCTCTTTAGTCTTAGTTCTCTCTCCTCCTCTGTCTGGAACATTTCAACATGTCTATCTTTGATTATGCTGATACACACCTCTATGATGTCCACTCGCGCATTCAGGGAATGTGTATTTTGCTTTATCTCTTCCATAGTGTCTTTCATCTCTAACATTTCTGATTGATTCTTCTTTATAGTTTCAATCTCTTTCGTGAAGTAGCACCTGAACTCATTGAATTGTTTCTCTACATTCTCTTTTACCTTGTTGAGTTTTTTGGTGATAGCTATTTTGAACTCATTGTCATGTAACTTACATATTTCTGTGTCATCAGGACTTGGTTCTGGGTACTCGTCATTTTCTCTCTGGTCTGGAGGTTTGATGTCGTGTCTGATGTTGGAAGGTCGAGTCTTTCTCATTCTGACATTATTTGGTTGCAGTTACAGCCTGTTGCCTCTGGGTGGGAATTGAGAGCCACGTATTCTGAGCCCTCCACCTTCAGCCACTATCCCAGGCAGTGGAGCAGCTGGGTGCAGGACAGGTGAAAGGAGAGGTGCTTTCTCCTGCGTGCACTCCGGGATTTCTCAATCAGCTCTTGTTATCTGGTCTCCTGGGGTCTTGGCTTGATGAGGTCAACCCCTGTGGAAGCTTTTGCCCCACCTCCCCCCTTACAGGGCTTCCCTCTAGGCTGCAAGGGCCCTAGGCACTCCTTGGTGAACTCACGAACGAGTGACTGCTCCCCCACTCTTTCCCTCACAGATCCTCCCGCGGCAGCGACTGCAGTCTTTAGGGGAGGGAGCAAAGTTCTCTCTTACACTGTTCCAGCTCCTCTGAGGTGGGCTGCAGCCTCTCCGCCCTCCGTTGTGTGGCTGTGTCTCTCTCTGAGGTTTTTGTGTTGTTAGAATATTTTCTGTTGTAGTATGGATGCCCCTTTTTGTTGTATGTTGGAGGGGAGAGAGTCCCAGGCAAGTTCACTCTGCCATGATGCTGATGTCACTCCTGCTCTTCTTTCCTTTTTTTTCAATATGACCCATCAGACATGAGCTATTCAGAGCTGTTAAGTTCTACAAATTAGCATTCAGGAAAGGAATGTTGGTTAAGCAAAAGAATTAAATTATATTTTAGCATATCTTAAAGGCAGCCTTCATCATTAGATGTTTATGATTAAAATTCTCAAAAGTAACTTAATTTTTTAAATAGATGGTCCAGTTAGCATTACTAAAGCTAGTCGTTTATTCAGAAATTACAATACATTATGAAAGTTTTTGAGGTTGCTGAGTGCTCAGGCCAGTAAAAATGGGTGAAAAAAGGAAGGAAGGAAAGAAAGAAGGTTCTTCAATAGGTGGCTTCTGTAACCATGGATTTTAGTTTGCGATTTAATTTTTTTAAAAGAAATTTTGGTAAAGCACCCTAAGTCTTATCCTGTGAAAAAAATCCTCTGTTACCAAGATCATCCATTATAATAATGACTATTTTTTCCAAACGTAACCTTAAAAAAATTTTTTTTTTTTAGGATGGTATCGGCAATGCAACATTATTCCTTATAGTAAAGATGTTGACCTAGGAATTTTTATACAGGATTACAAATCTGATATTATTTCAGCATTTCATGATGCAGGACTTCCACTCAAACACAAATTTGGGAAGGTCAGTAATAAAAATCTGCTTTACTTCATAAGTAACATGTCTCAAAAGTAAAGTTTATATTAAGCAACTCAGAGATGCTTAAGAACGTTACCTACATCATTTTATCACTCAATATTAGCCAGGATGAGTTCAGCAGAAGCTTGTTACCGCTTGTGACTTCTGCACTATTTAAGGGAAAAAAAAATCTGGCTTTCTGTTGACAATGAGGAAGAGAGAAGGATCTTGGACTCTGGCAGATGAATTTATTGCCATTGTATCAGACAACAATATAATATAATTAACATAACATATAATATACAATTAAAATGATAAGTAAAAATCCCATCTACCCTACCCAAAGTTACATTGTTTCTCGTGAGTCATTTAATTTCGTGTTCGCTTAGGCATGGATATCATGATCAACATGAAACATTCCATTGATCGCTAAGGGTTAGAAATACAGAATCATTTCAAACAGTGCTTGAATTTCTTGTTTATTTCCCATGTCCTAGGTCATGGCAATTTTCTCAGAGGTCAACTTGGAGTAGGTCATCGTGGCTTAGGTGAAGTCTCCTTTCAGACACTTTGACTCCTGTGCCCTAATCCCTTGACCCCTTGCAATCACCTTACTCTTAATTTGCTTGTTCCCAGGGAGATGTTGTCCTGGAAGCAAGTAGGAGTATGTTTAGTCTCTGAAAAACTACTTCCCTCTTCATGATCATTTTAGTTTATTAAAAAAATTAATAAAATATTTTCCTGAGGTCAAAGTCAAAGCAACAGAACTCTAGTCATTCAGCAAACATTTACTCAGCACTCACTCAGTGCCTGCCACTGTGCTCTGCGCCCGGGACACAAAGATGAATAAGTTACAGTCCTTACCCTTGAGGGTTCACTGTCTAATTGGGAGGAAAAAATGTATAACTAATTGTTCTGTGATTAGTGCTTTAACAGACAGATGCACCAAATCCAAAGGGAACATAATTATTTGTAGAATAAGTTTCTTTAGGGAAATGCTCTCAGAATTCTTTGTACCTTTAACTTTTATTTCTTCTTTTTTTCCTGTGCATAATGTAATGATCTAAGCTATGTTTATGGGTTTCTATAATACCACATTTACTTAAGTACTTATTGATTGATTGTTGATTCTGATGAGAGACTTATTTCTTGATGGTTTTACTTGGTTATTAAAGGGAGTGATTTTTCTTCGGTTCCTTTCCTTCTTTGGACAGAAAGGGGCTCAGGAACAAGATGTTCTGCCGAGTGGTAACTACTGTAAGTGATTTACTCTGAGCTGTTATCACTTGCAAGAAGCATCATTATTTTGTATGCATTTAAGAAAGAAATCAAGCCTGGCGTGCTACTGCTGCATCCCGATTTCAGAGGTGCTCCAACTTGAAAAAGCGTGTATCTGAAAACCAGTGCTCTCTCTGTATAACACATAGGAATCTTTTTTGTTTTTTTAATTTAAAAAAATGTATTTCTTTTGTTTTAGTCTGTGAAGGTTTTCATCTTCCCCCCAGGTAGAAGACAGCTTGGAACTATCTTTCCAGGGAAAAGATGATGTAAAACTTGACATTTTTTTCTTCTATGAAGAGACTGACCATATGTGGAATGGAGGCACTCAGGCCAAAACAGGAAAAAAATTTAAGTATGAATCAGATAAGTACTTATAAAAGGGGGTTATAGAAATAATTTTAGAAAGTAGACATAAGGAAGAAACTGCAAAAAAAAAAAAAAAGACTGGCAAGACTTCACTGTTAACTAATACTTTCTCAGCCTACCCATAGAGCCCACTTACGCTTGCAAAGTGAGGTGCACCTCTAAGGACAAGCTGTGAGGAGGAAGTGCCCCTGGGTTTGTCAGCCCAAAGAGTCCTTGTGAGTAGAAGCCACAGAGTCATCATAAAGGGAAAACCAAAACAAGGAGCACAAAGACCAAGCCCAGAGCCTCAGCTAAAAAAGTGGGTGACCATCAAAGCTGTAGGAACTTAATAGTTTAACGGTAATGGGTAAGGGTTGGTAAGGAGCAGATAGTCCGCATGAAGTGAAGTTTAAGTAAGGAAACTGGGATTGAACCGGGCTGAGACCATGAATACTGGGATGTGCCTTTAATATAATCTTTAGAGGATACTTCTTGGGCTTAACAGTTCCGTATTTTGTCAAATGTGAGATTATATCAATTGTAGGGTGCACCATAATTTTATGTGCTACTAAGAAAGAAAAAACACCGCCAATTATAAGACACATGATTCACAGATGGAAAAATTGAGGTGGGGGGCATGTCTCAGAACTGATGGAATGCAGTATCTTAGATTGGCATTTTTAACATCTCTCTCTCTTTTTTTTTTTTAATGCTGCCATAGTCATATTCTTTGATGAGAAAAGACAAAAATGACATTAGAGGAACTATGCTCTCTTTTATGATGCAGTTGGCCTGTTCTCATTTCTGAGAGTGAGAGAATGAGTGGGACTGAGAACCCAAAGAGCATGGGCTTTGGAGTCAGGCAGACCTGGGAAACCTCAGCTACACCCTAACCAATTTGCAGTCTTAGCTTTTCTGAACATTAATCTCCTCATCTATTCAATTTGGGTCTACTGTGTGTGTCAGGCACTATTCTGAACATTTTACGTGGATTAACACATCTGATGCTCACAACAACCAGAGAAGGTAGATATTCTGTGAGGCACTGAGAATTTAAGTAATTTGTTCAAGATCACACAGCAAATAAGTGAAGGAGTCAGAGAGCAGCCTGTCTCTACAGTTCAGGCTTTTTACCCCTATTCGCCATGACCACCCTAATATACCGGATATATGAGGCACTTAGCATAATGCTTAGCACTCATTAAGTTATCAGTGAATGGTGGTTATCATTGTTATTATTCAATATTATTAATATTATGATTACTAATGTGTTGTTATTATGGTAGTTATGACCAGTAGCATAAATATACCTCACCAACTAGCCGAGATTGGAGCTTCTATCATTGAATAAATTTGAGCCATTGGCCACAGTGGGGAATGTTCTGTAACACAGAAGAGGAATTCCAAGCTCAGCCTGGTTTCTCCTGGATACTTTGATACACCCTACTGAATCTTTGTTTGAAGTCAGGGAGTCTTCATGTAAGGTTAAACTTGTCCTGGAGGTTTGATAGTAATCCAAAACCTTTGCTCAGCGTCATGAAGAATTCCCAAAGTAACATGGACCCCAGAGCAATTTTTGAAACTCTTATAAAAAATTATTTTGCTTTATGACAGCAAACACCTTCATGCGGGGTAAGCTCTGATTAGAGGACAGAAATTAATAAGTTAATGAGTATATAATTGACACTCTCACTGTGGCTAGGTGAATGGGGCAGGGTAAGTGTTTTTGACATTCAGCTATAGTTTGTTTATTAAAAATATGATAAAGTTGTCAAATGTAATGTATAATTTAGAGAGTTTTTTTAACTATAATATAGTATAGCATAGAAATTAAAGGCATGGAGCCAGTCTGCTTGCTTTTGAATTCCAGCTCTACATTTTACCAACTGTATTACCTTGGGCAACTTATTTAACCTCTCTGTGCTTAAGTTTCCTCAAGTGTAAAAAGAGAATCATCGTAGAAATTGCTACATAGAGTGGTTTTAAGGATTAAGTGAGTTAATGCACAAAAAGGGTTATGAAGAGAATTAAGCATGTCCTGAGTACCAAGTAATTATTAGCTGCTATTATTAATACTACCAGCAGTAGTAAAGAAAACTACTCCTCTTCTTAGTCTTATGAGAAATTTACAAATTAGAAATCTGTATAATTATCTCAATATCAAACTGCCACATCTATTCTTAGAGAACTCACATGAGAATGTTGCCTTTTTTCTAAGAAAGATAATTTCTACAGTCATTATTATAGTCCTAGTAGTCTTAAATTGCCTTCCAAGGCTTGAATTTCTTTCTTCTCCCTGAGATGGTCTGAAACTCACAAGCCTCAAAAGAACTGTTCATTTCTAACCACTACATTTCTGGATAGAAAGAGCTCCTTGCGTTCTGCTTTAACTGCTCTTTATAGTAGCAATGTTTGGGAAGTGTGAAGTGTTCTGATTATTTAACAAGAGAAATGAGCAGTGATAGAGCTGTCTGGACAGATGGTGTGAGTCCCAGATTTTCTATCATGTTCCCGTGACCTTAAAAGGCAGAGAAAAGAACAGGGGATGGCTGTGTAGAGGAGTTTCTTTGGAAGATTCCCCCAGCCATATGCCATTTTCATTCTTTTCAGCACTGTTTACTTTAAGAACTGTAGTATTTTCACCACTACTATTTCCAGAGGGGGGAAAAAAAACCTTTAAAGCTAGTTGAAGAGTCTTTTTATCTTTATAATATTATACTTTGTATTCATGTATAGTTTATTCTGAAAAAAGCTTAGCAGTATCATAAAATGCCTAGCCATTTTTTAAAAGGTAGAAGAGGAACTCAGGCAGAAAGAAAAAAGTTCCCCCTTTCAAACTTTTACTCTGCATGGTGATGTTTTTAGTCCCAAGATTTAATAATCGTTACAATAATAATTATGATAGTATAATTATAATATAAACAGCAGTAATAAAGATGCAGCTACCAGGGTATCTGCTAGATCTCAGGCACCGTGATAGATTCTTTATGCTCTCAGATAACCCTCACTTATCCCTGTGGTAAGTTAGGTGTTCTCACTCCTGGTTAGGTATGAAGAAAGTAAAGCTCAGAGAAGTGAAGTCACTTGCCCAAGGTCACCTGGCTATTAATGGCAGGGCCAAGATTTAACTCCAGACCTGTTGGACTCTTAAGCCTAAATGGTTTCTTCTAAGAATCCATAGATTAAATGAGTTAACACATGTAATGCATTTAGAACAGTCCGTGGCACATAGTGAGTACTGTATGCACTTTAGCTACTGCTGCAACTATCACTAGTAGTAACGACATTGTTACTACTATTGCTGTTGCTGCTACTGTGGTGCTCTGGCGCAAAGCGTAGCCCCTTCTGCACAGTAGTAAATTGGATTAGTTACTCTCTGGACAAGCGTTTTTTCCCAGCTCTTATATTCATTCCATCCTTAGTTCTCAATCTAAATCCATTCTTTTACCTAAAATCTAAATTCCATTCTAAAAGATTGTCTGGATTTTTTATATTTATTTTTCTTCTCTAGAGTCTCAATCACTAGTAATAAAAAGTGATGACTATAACACTGTGCCTCCGGGGTGTGAAGTTTTTATTCCACAGCTTCACAGTTCCTACAGAGGCTGCCTGGGTTTCTTTGGGTTATTTCTTTCCTTCCCATCTGAATCTACTGATGGAAGTAGAGGCCAGAAGTTTAAGAGATAATAATAATAATGGTAATAATAGAAATTAACTTTCATTGAATTTATCTATGTGCTAGGTAGGCACTATGCTAAGCTTTTAGATGCATCGTCTCATTTAACCCTCACAACAGGTTTATAAGGGAGATTTTATTATAGTCGCCTTCATTTTATGGATGAGGAGAGTAAGAAGAGCTAACACGGAGACCTAGGGCCATGTCAGCTCAGAGCCCATGTTCTCATCCATCGCAGTGTTACTGTCACCACGATCTCTATCATATTGTTAATACTCCCCCATGAAAATAGCCCTTCTATTTATTGACATTGTCAGAGTATTACAGCTACCTCTGTGTCCTCTAATAGGAAATCTGCTACCCCCATGCTAGTCGTGAGTTCCTTATACCTTCTGATATTTGCAGTTTCTGCTTATTGTATAGCTCTTCAGAAAATTTGGATTTGTCCTCTGTGGCACTAGACTTCTATATAATTTCACATTTCATTTCTGCAAAATTTATTTACCAATTGCTATGTGCTAAGGATTCTGATGTGATAGCTGAGTTTTGGCTCTCAGTGATCTCCTAATCTAGACCATGAAACAAATAGTAAAGTACTATATCAGCAGTACAGTAATTAAAATATGTCATGGATGGTTGAGACACCAAATCAACTCCATCTGCAATCAACAGCAAGGAAGTGTGGCTTAAAAATGGAGAAGTTTGTTAAGCAGACTTAGTATGAATATGGAGAAAGTCCTGATAGTAGGTTTACCTAACTATTTTTCTATTTAGATTGTTCTCATTTTTTTATTATTAAACAAATTCTATGAGCATCTTGTATGTAAAGTAAAAGCTTTATTAGGGATTGTTTCCTTGAATAGATTCCGCAAAGGGGAATTCTTATTATTGTTTGTGCTGATTAAGAAATACAGGGATAAGTGGTCAGTGTTCTAATACCAGTAAAAGTACAAGATGTTGTCCCTCAATGTCTTGTTTTTCCTTGACTCCTTAAGGCTCCTGGCAGCTGTGCAGGCTTCCTTAGTATTTCTTGTCAGCATGCTTTAGTCTACCTGCTTTTTAAATTTTTCCTTATTCTTTTAAAATAAACTTTTTATTTTGTGATAATCTTTTGAAAGTTTGTGAACAGAAAAGTATGAAGCTAATGCAGAGAGCTCCTGTATACCAGTCACCCAGTTTCCCCTCATGTTAACATATTGTTAGCCTGGTGCATTTGTCAAAACTAAGAAACCCACACTGGTGCATTCCAGTTAACTAAACTCCAGACGTTGTCTGGATTTCTCCAGTTTTTCCACTAACGTCCTTTTTCCGTTCTGGTATCTGTCCCAAGATACCACATTGCATTTGGACACCCAGCATTTTGAAACTTGCTTTTAGTCCAAGATTTAAGCATGTAGTGCCAGATTGTTATACATCATCACGTTTCCCAATTCTGCCCATTCAAGGGCATTGAGTTGCCTCCATTTTGAAGTAGCTCCTCAGTACCTCTCCCTGGAAATAATCTCCCCTTCCTCTGAATTTCCATAGATTTGTCTCCCCTTTATCTCTCTCGTACTTTATTTGTCTACTTGTGCTGATTTGTCTGTCCTTTGTGAGTTATAAGTAGAATCAGGCTGGTAAATCTGTTGGGCCGAGTGAGACCCGAGCCCTACATGAAACTAAAATCAGGCCTTCTTCAGTGCAGTGTAGTGTTTTATTAAGATGATAGGGTGACACTAGATTGGTGACTTGATGCAACCTAGCATCTTTGGAGAATCAAAGCCATAAAATCAAGTCACGCCAGTTTTTCAGTCACTCTGCTTTGCGAGAAGTTACAGATCAGAGTTAGCTGTTGAATCTCCACTCATCGGTTCTCTCAGCTTCATAGATTGATACTGTGCTTCCATAGTTTTGGCTCTCAAAAAACACATTTGTCTTTTTAGTACTTATAGCTGTGAAGCTAAAAAGGCAAATTTGAATAATTTCTTTAAATGAGTGTATTTAAAATGTTGGCTTTTCAAAAAATGATCTCACATCTCCTACTCTGTTTATGCCTTTATATTTTACAGCATATAGATTATGTCTTAGGCCTCCTTAATTATACCTCCAAACCTCTAGTGAGTAGCAGGTACAAAACTGAGTCATTGAGGGAAGAACTTTGAAAGCATAATTTATGGTAATTGGATACTTATATAATATAGAAGTAGTAGTTATTTATATAGTTAGCTTTGTTTGTTTTTTTAAGAGAACATTACCTCAAGATGAATAAACAGCAGACTTTTCATTCATGTGAAGTAAATTATATTTTTAAGACTGCCACATGTTTGAATTTGGATCTGTTCACATTTTGGATCCTTTCTCAGAGCTTTAAAGTGCACACTGCTTGGCTGAACTAACTCTTGGCTCTAAGAGCTAAGGGAGCATTGCAGACCCATGGTGTACTTTAGTCTTAGTCACTATTTACTGGTAACCTGGACAGATACATGGCATTTGCTCTTCTGTGTCACTCACCTCGCCCCCCTTCCTCTCCACAATGCCGTTTTACAGTCAGTTTCCACATTTTATGGTTTGTTTATCTTTCTTCTCCTAGGAAGCTGGAATTTTCTTTTTGCTGAATGAATTGGAAGTTACTTGGTAAAAAGAAAACCACAAAGAGCTTAGGGATGTATCTGTTTAGGAACAAAAATTAACATTTGAATTAAATTGTCTTTGAGTTATTTTAACACTGTTTATATGTTTAAAATGTTTTGGTTTTGCTTATAAACCCTTCAATGTTCAAAACCTTGCTTTTGTAAAATTCGTAGTATTCTCATCCACCCTGTCTATCCTGGACCTATGATTTTTCTTTCTTTCACCTCTTTGATGAGACTCTAGAGGCTAATATTTGAGAGAGACAAGTTTCCTGGCCCACGTTACTAGATAGACCATGATTTCTGCGTCATTTCAACTTCAGCTTGTCAACTTGATAGGATGGGACAGGTGGACATTCTGCTGACCAGCGTCTGGCTGGAGAGGGTGCAGGCTGCTGATGGATGGGCACGTCTGATGACCAAAGAAGCAATTCCATGAAAATTAGTGTGCAGAGTAAAATTGGGACAAGCAGATGGTGGAACTAGGCTGTATCTTATTTCTTCCTCAGCCATGAGATTTTCAATGGCCATCTTTTCACAGAAGCCAGCTGGGATTCTCCATTAACTCCCAGGACCCATTGGTTTAGGTAGAAAGGATGTGTTGCTTTCTTTAGAATTGGTTCAGCCTCTCATTTTCCTGTATGGCTTTCTGATCATCTACTGGTAAAACATGATATTCAAAAGCAGAATATATGAGAATTCACCTTTCCTTGGAGAACATCCCAGTTAGATCCCATTTCCACAATACGATTACACTTTGACATCTGGCTTTTCCTGGTTCCTTTTGTCTTTAATCCTCTGATAATTTAAATTTCTGTGATCTCTGCTGTTGCCACTTTAGATCTCATTGCTGCAAGTTCTTCCCATGTTGTGAAGAGAAGAAACATTTCTCAGAAAACACCAACACAGAATCTAGGGGTATAATATAAACTTAAAGCTAACAAACCTGCTAGTTTTAGCTTTCCTTTGTAATATATGAATTTAATTTGCTGATCCAGAGTGCCTTTAAGAAACATGTTTTGGTTTAATTTCTGTAACTTACCTACTAATCAAATTAGTTCTAGTATAGATGAATTCATTATAACTAACGTTCCTTGGCCTGGCTTAGAGATGTTCTTTAGCATTTGACATGAAAGAAAGGCAGAAACTCCAGGTGGGTTCATGTGAGGGATGGAGGCCTGGGGCTGCATCCTGGAGTCGTGCTTCCTCTGTATCCTTGGAAAGTCCAGGTTGTGAAAGAAAAGAAAATTCACCTTATACATGTGCTGTTTATTTTAGTTCTTTAGTTAGGTTCTTTTAGTACCAGTTTGATGGGGATTTAGTATGTGTAAACTATTAAAAATAAGTAAGAAAAAAGTAAGTTTGGGGCGGAGAACAGAGATCAGAAAGAGCAGGTGGTAAAGTACTAGAAGGCAGAGCAGGAAGAGGTAGCTTGTCTAGCTGTCTTTTAAGAGAAGTGTTGAAGTACAGTATATCCACACGTTAGATGTGTATTCCTGCATTTGAGGAGGGGCTGGAGGTGTGAAGCTTTGCTCGAAAAGCCAGCTTAGTGGGTGTTACCGTGCTCACGTATTGTGGTATGAAATTCTCGCCACAGTAAGTTAGGAAAGGAGTTTGAGAAATACCCCAGTGACCCTGGGCGTTTCTCCTTCAATTGTCTAATTGACCACAGTGAAACCAGGGACACAGGAATTAACATGACCCATCACAAAGGCACAAGCTCTTGTGATGCTGTTGTTGGAGAATGTCGTATATTGCCAGGATTGATTCGGCTTCTCTGGCTGACTAGGACGGTTTTGTTTTCTGTCTCACGGCTACATGTGCCTCCCTCCCCGTATTAAGAATTGCAAGTATTAGAAATATAGTCAAAAAATATTTATGTATTTATTGGTTCACTTGAGATGTTTAAGGAGTGGCCACAGCCAAATCCAAGCACTTCCCCAGGGTTTTCCAAACTTTATCATTTTCCTCCATCTTTTGGCAACTCTTTGCTTTGACTTCATTCTCAGACAACTCTCTCTGCTAATGAAAAAGATGGTCACCAGCAGTGCTCAGCTTCTGTCCTACCAGCTTAGAAACCTCAGCAAAAGAACACTTCTTCCCCAGTAGTTCCAAGAGAAATCCCAAGGCTGACTTTGATTTGCCCAATTCATGTGCATCACCATCTCTGACCCAGTCGCTATAATTTACTAGTTAGTCCTGGGTCTTTTTTATCCTTCTCTGGAGCACAGAGGTGGGGTCAGCTCCTCCTAAACCATGTAGACTGGGAGTAGGGGAGGGAAATTGGGGTTCTGTTGACATCAGAAGAGGAGAGGGATGCTGGGCAATCAAAAACAACAAAATGGCCACTGGATCTATCCCCAAAGCTATGTAGTGGGAGAGGACCATCCCTCAGCCAAGAGAGCACTAGCAGCCGGGTGCCTTCACTCAGACTCCCCTCCTGAAGCCTAACCCCTCTCCACACTGCCTCTGTTTGCCACAGGTACCTGTTCCCCAAGTTTACACTGTGCTGGACTGAGTTTGTAGACATGAAGCTTCACGTGCCCTGTGAAACCATCGAATACATTGAAGCCAACTATGGTAAGACCTGGAAGATTCCCGTGAAGACTTGGGACTGGAAGCGCTCTCCCCCGAACGTGCAGCCCAATGGCATCTGGCCTGTTTCTGAGTGGGACGAAGTTATCCAGTTATACTGAGACAGTAGGTTGAAATGGTAGAATTCCCCTTGTGGAAAAAAGGTGGGTAGCTATTTAAAAAAATGCATGTGTATTTGTCATACGTAAGTAGGAGCCAAAGAAAAATGACAAGTTTGAAGATACAGAAAGAGTCCTAACTCCTGAGCCATCTGCTTTAATTCTCTCGTTTTACGCTTATTAAGCAGTCTCCACGTGCCAGGTACACTGCTAGGTTACAGTGGAGAAGCAGAGATGAGTGAGACAGATGCTTGCCTCTTTTACCCGTCCTTTGGTAAGCACCCCAATTTTCCTTCCAGGGAAACACCCCCACCCTTTGAAGAGCTCATATAGAATATGATATGTTCTGTAAATGCTTTAAAAATGTAAGATAATGTTTGGACTGGAAGATGAGCTCACCAGGCAAAGCTAAGGAAGGATATACTACTTAAAAATAGCCCATTCCTGTCCTCAGCGTTTAAGCTGGTGTGTTAGTGCTATTTTTAAGATTGTGGAGTCTGAGTTAACGTTCAAGTGATCAGACTTGAGGTGGCATCAAGAAAAGACGCTAGCAGATTCATGTTACAAGCCACCTGATGTGGACTTGATTTAGAGACAAGGCATCATTCTATAAGAGAATAGAGCTCATTTCTAGCCTTGTCAAAGATAAGTGAATTTCCATATACTTACTATTTTCATATTTGTGTGAGAAGAAAGCTTATGCTGTGTGATGCTTACATTTAGAGCTATTGTGAGAATATTTCCACTGACCTCTGATAGAACTTGCTGACAAATCATTCAAGTGAGACCATTCTACCAGACATGATTTTGAGAGGGTTGTGATTTCACACACTTATGTTCCCTATTTTATTCTCAACCATCTGTTAGTAAAAATATGAACTATTCATGGACATTTTATATTTTCTGAATTTATAATCCTTATACTCCCAATTTTAATGTTAACTCTAAAATATTAATAGAAATACCTCCAGCTTTTCTAAATGTACTCTTCAGTGTATTCATTCATCAGTTGCAACTCCATATCGTTCATTTCTGGCCTCTAAACCAGTTTAAATGGCATGTAAACCTCCTTGCCCCTCTCCTCTTCCAAGACTACATCAGGTCTCCAAAATGAAGATAAATGGCGAACCTGGCAACTGTTGCCACCCCAGATCATAGTATTTGCAAAGTCTGTATCCATCCTAGTTGTTCTATCTGCTGAATATCGATGGGGCAAGAACACAGACTTCCCCACTTTATCAAGTGACACCTACTCTGAAACCGTCCAGTTTCCTTTTTCCCCTTGAGATCCATCCCTGAGTGAGCTGGGATGGCTCTGTCCCTTTCATCTCTCCGTGAGTCACTTTAATTATATATTTGAAGTGAGATGTGAAGGGACGTGAAGGCACAATAAGCACTCCTGTCTTTGTCTGGGAAAGGAAGCTAAGTCTTATATTATCTGCCAGAGTGGCAGATTTTCCTCTAAAATAGAGAATAATAAGAGTGTCGAAAATGGCAACCAGAAGGTCTGAGGGAGTGGGCTGACAGAGTTTTCCTAAAATAAACTTGGGGAAAGTAACCTACAATCACCCCACTCCAGGTTTTAAACACAATGAAACTTTTTTTGATAAATGATAACTGATGGCCTTCCTCTCTTACAAGGAGTTCTCAATGCATAATTGTTGGGTCTTTTCATACATAACATAATCAAGGTTTTCAGGGACCTTCATAAATTATCAGCAAACTTGTCCCAAAATGATAGGCTATTTTAATCAGCTTTCTTTTTGCTAGAAAATCAGCCCGTAGAAATCATACCCAAATTTTAAATAGCTGAACCTAATTTCAATTTTCATGGTTCAAAAAATATAACATAATAATTGTGTTCCTGGGCAAAAACCTACCCAGCTTAGTGAGGGCCATTTGCTTGTGCTCAGCTTCTAGAAGTGCATACATTCCACATTTCTGCCCATTTCAAATTGTGACTCTCACTGTTTGCTAGGGGGTCTTATCTACCCTATGTAGGTTATTTTTCTTTTATCTGACTCTGGAGTCCGAGGTCTTGAAGTGTCCAAAATCTAAAATATCTTGGCCCCATTGCCGAAGGTTCCGTATCCTTCCCTTCACAGACCGCTGGCTGCTGAAATACTTTTTTTTGACTACCTTCTGGTTTCACAGGCTTCCCCTCTTGGGTCCTACCCTAACTTGAGGAAATGAAAGCCCTTCCCCAAACTCTGAAGGCTAGGCTTGCCTCTGATACAGATTGGGCTGTCCTTCATCCTGTGCCTCCTAACAGTTGCACTCTGCTGAGTGTCCAGAGACCTTGAGTCAGGGGGATCCCCCATCAACACCTCAAAAGATCACTTTTCTTTCCTCACCTGAGTATTCCAACAATAATTCTCCTAATCTCACCACTTTCAGGTCCCGTTTTCCTGGCTGACCAGGAGAAAACCTCTTATACTAACTTGTTGGAAGTTAGGCACCCAGGGATGTCCCCAGAGGATCCTGAGAGGCAAGATTGACAGCCTCTCACGTGACAACCAGGTAGCCACTCAGTCCTCCTCTAAGCAGGGAGTACGTGCCCTTCTTTCTGCTGCGGCTACTTGCATCTGGCCCCTGGAATAAAGCTGCAGTTCCCAAAATTGAGCCTCCCTAAGAAGCTGGGCTTTGGGATGGCAGGTTTCTTTGATTTCGGTGCCACAAACCCTGAAATATGACCACTAGATGGCAGAACGTCTGTCACCATTCCCCCAAAACAAGTGCTCTTGAATCTTAAAAGCTTAGACCCTCACTGCAACATTCATTCTAACGCTCTTATTTCATAGCTAAGTAAATAAGCCCAAAAAGAAGTGATTTGAGTAAGAAACAGCTGAGACCAAAACTCAAGAGCGTCATGCCTTCTCCCTTAGGAAGGCAGCATGTGGTATAAAAGACCATGGACTTTTGACTTAGGCCTGGGCTTGAATCTCAGCTTCATCACATGGGATTTATGGCGGGGACCCTCTTAGCTTCCATTTCCACGAGTGAATTGGGGAAATGGTGCGTACTGCTAAGGACTTTCTAGTTAGGATTAAATGAAATATAAAGTGCTTAGCATCAAGCCTAGGATTAAGTAAGTACTCAAGAAATGGTCCCTTTCCTACTTCCAAGTCCTTTTTCTAATTGTTCTTCAAATAGGATTAAAGAAACTGGTTCAGGACACAATCCTTACTCAGAAAGTTGCATGACTAAATTTGTTTAGGAAAAACATTGCTTCATTGTATCAAGGCATTAAAGAAAAAATTATATGGTTTATGAATTCAGAGACATTACCAAATTGCCTCCTTTTCTAAACAGAGCTTATATTTTCATTTTACTGGTCAAGCCATTTTCTCCTAGGGTCTCCTTATACCATCCCACGTGCTGCCCAGTTCCTTGGTCCCAAGCAGTTCACTCTCTACCTCCCTAGATTTGGTACCTGCTCTGCCCTGGGCTTCTTTTTCAACATTCTAGCTTTTCCTGGAAGTAAAACCTCACTTCCTTGTTACTAAATCTCTGCCCAGCCAAAATCAAACATAAGTCATGATTTGGAGAGGAAAGAATTTGGAATACTTGGTTTCATTTAATTATCTATGCTGATGAATGCCTATCTCAGTAGTAATGAACGGTAATTAAAAATACGCATTTGCACCTTCTTCCCCCAAACTTGTGTTTCTGTTTCAGCTAGGCAAGAATTAACAGGGTATGTGATGCTATTTTAAGCTGCTCTGCATCAGACTGAAATCCTAATTATAGTTTATAAATAAAACAGAACAATTAAATAGTGATACCTTTCATACAGGACCAGTGCTAAAGAACGCAAGTATAAATTTTTCTAATAAGAAATCTCTGCTTCTATATTCTCAGAACTTCTAGCTTAGAATGCACCCCCCATTGCCATCCCCTAACCTAACCCAATGCAGAGATTATGTAGGAACCCGTTAGCCAGCCAAGCTGCTGTATACTTATGAGCAGCTCTCACTGTGGGATTGAAAGGGAGTATAAGGAGAATCAGAAGTACTGTATTCTGTTCTATAAAACAAGATACTGTCTCATGCACTATTAACAAAAAATTACAAGATTTTGTAGCCTTCTGATGACCCATTCAGAGCATGGGCAATTGTTTGTATATTTGTTCAGTGAAAATCATATCTAGCTAATTGTGTGTCCCTTCCACTTCATAACCAGGACAATATGTATGTAAATTTTCTAAACAAAGTGATATGTTAAACATGAGTAAATTCCAGCGTGTGCTTACCAGTTTACTATTTGGTTTTATGTTCAGGTACAAATAATTTGTGGTACTACTGAAAATGCCTTTAATATTATTATTGTGATCAGAATTTGTAATATATAATCCATTTTGGGATGATGAATAAAGTTTTTCTAATCACTTGAGATATTCTGTGTTTATTTTTGAAGCTTGCAGTAGAAATAACAGCCACTAACATTCATAAGCAATCTGGTAAACTAGTAATCTTGCCACCAGTACAGTATCCCTAAAATTAAGGTAAAATGAGGTCATATGAGTGAGCCCTAATCCAATATGACTGGTGTCCTTATAAGAAGAGATTAGGGTACAGGCAGGCACAGAGGGAAGACCATGTGAAGATTTAGTGAGAAGATGGCCAAGGAGAGGAGCCCTTGGAAGAAACCCACCCTGCCAACACTTTCATCTTGGACTTCTAGCTTCCAGAAGTGTGAGAAAATAAATTTCTGTTTTAAGCCACTGGGTCTGTGATACTTTGTAAGGCAACCCTAGCAAACTACTGTAGTAATCCAGACAGTATGGTATTGGTAACAGCATAGACACATAGATCAGTGGAGCAGAATAAAGAAACCAGAAATTGACACCCAAATATGCTCAACTGATTTTAACAAAAGTGCAAAAGCAATTCAATGAAGGAAGGATAGCCTTTTCAACAGTTGGTGCTAGAGCAATTGGACATCCATAGGCCAAAAAAAAAAAAACGAACCTCAACTTGATCTTCATATTTTAATACAAAAATGAACTCAAAATGAATCATGTACTTAAATGTAAAATGTAAAACTATGAAACTTTTAGGGAAAAAGAAGAGGAGAAATTCTTCATGACCTAGCACTAGGCAAAGAGTTTTTTCTTAGACTTTGCACCAAAAGCACAATCCGTAAAATAAAAAAGTGATAAATTGGACTTCATCAAATTAAAAACTGCTCCTCCGCAAAAGCCTTCAAGAAGAGGATGGAAAGTCAAGCTACAGACTAGGAGAAAATATTTGCAAACTACTTATCTGACAAAAGACCTAGTATCTGGAATATATAAAGAACCTGAACACTCAATAACTTTTTAAAAATCCAACTAAAAAATGGGCAAAAGACATGAACAGACATTTCACTGGAGAGGATATACAGATCACCAATAAGCCCTTTAAAAAGATGTTCAACATCATTAACCAAATAGCCAAAGCAATCTTGAGAAAGAAGAACAAAGCTGGAGGCATCACAGTTCCTGATTTCAAACTATATTACAAAGCTTTTGTAATCAAAGCAGTATGGTACTGGCATAAAAACAGACTCATAGACCAATGGAAGAGAATCAAGAGCCCAGAAATAAACCCATGCATATGCAGTCAACTAATATTTGACAAGGGAGCCAAGAATACTCAATAGAGAAAATACAGTCTCTTCAATAAAACGGGCTGGGAAAATTTGGATATTCACAAGCAAATGAATGAAACTAGACCCCTATCTTACACCACTCACAAAAATTAACTGGAAATGGATTAAAAACTTAAATGTGAGACTTGAAACCATAAAACTCCTAGAAGAAAACATAGGGGCAAAGATCCTTGACATTAGTCTTGTCAATGATTTTTTGGATATGACACCAAAGGCACAGGCAACAAAAGCAAAAGTAAATGAGACTACATCAAACTGAAAAGCTTCTGCACAGCAAAGGAAACCATCAACAAAATGAAAGGCAACCTACAGATTGGGAATAAATGTTTGCAAACCATATATCTGAGAAGGGGTTAATACCCAAAATATATAAAGAACTCATACAACTCAAAAGCGAAAAAACAATCCAATTTAAAAAATGGGCAGGGTCTGGCCCCGTGGCTGAGTGGTTAAGTTCACGCACTCTGCTTCAGCGGCCCAGGGTTTCTCCGGTTCGAATCCTGGGCACGGACATAGCACTGCTCATCAAGCCATGCTGAGGTGGCATCCCACGTGTCACAACTAGAAGGACCCACAACTAAAAGTACACAACTATATACTGGGGGGCTTTGGGGAGAAAAAGGAAAAATAAAATCTTTAAAAAAAAAATGGGAAAACGAACTGAATAGACATATTTTCCCAAAGATATCCAAAAGGCCAACAGGTCCATGAAAAGATGCTCAACATCACTAATCATGGAAATGCAAATCAAAACCTTAATGAGGTATCACCTCACACCTGTCAGAATGGCTATCATCAAAAAGACAAGAGGTAAGTGCTGGTGAGGACGTAGAGAAAGGGAAACCCTTGTGCACTGTTGGTGGACTGGAAATTGGTGCAGCCACTGTGGAAAACAGTATGGAATTTCCTCAAAAAATTAAAAATAGAACCATCATATGATCCAGAAGTTCCACTTCTAAGCCTATAACTGAAGGAAATGAAATCACTATCCCGAAGAGATAGTGACACCCTTGTTCGTTGCAGCTTTATTTACAATAGCCAAGATATGGAAATATCTTGATAATGGATCAATGGGTAAGAACATGTGGTCTCTATATATAGAATGGAATATTATTCAGCCACAAGAAAGAAAGAAATCCTGCTATTTGTGATGACGTTAAAATGGTTCTTGAGAACGTTTTGTTAAGGGAAATAAGTCAGACAGAGAAAGACAAATATATGATCTTACGTATATGTGGAATCTTAGAAAACCAATCTCAGAAACAGAACAGATTGGTGGTTGCCATAGGCAGGGGCTAGGGGCTGGGGGAATTGGGTGAAGGTGGTCAAAATATACAAACTCCCAGTTATAAGATAAATAAACTCTGGGGATGTAATGAACAGCATGATGACTATAGTTAACAATACTGTATTTTATGTATGCAAGTTGCTAAGAGCGTAGATCTTAAAAGTTCTCATCACAAGAAAACAAAACTTTTTTAACTATGTGAGATGATGGATGTTAACTCGTTGTAATCATTGCATAATATATACAAATATCAAATCATCATGTTGTACACCTTAAGCTTATACAACATCTGTCAATTATATCTCAATAAAACTGGGGAAAAAATGTTACCATTTTTCTTTGTCGTAATTTCTCCCAAGAACACCTCGCGAGATCTTCTGAAGTGAATATTAATAAGCCAGTCCTTGTGCCGCTGTAATTAGAGGCCATTTGCTGTGTTGTCATTGGTGTGAGGAGTGACTCTCTAGTCAAGAGTTTCCAGGTCATTCAGCCTGCATCTCAGCTCTGCTTCATCATACTTTGTGGTTTTGGCTCTCATTTTTATCTTTGGACACAAAAATACAATATTTGCTGAATCTCAGCATATTGCTTTTTCTAAACTTATCATTTTCCAGAAGTTTTGTGCAAATGTCCATCTTTGCGGAAAGTTACCACTCCTTTTATTTCTAACCTAACTTGATACCTTCCACTGTTCTGCCAGTCAAGTCTCCCTATGACTATTCCCCCCATGTAACAAATACCAAAGTATATAGAAACTGCTAACCAAAGGTGGTAAAGGTAAAGGCACTTTCTGGAGGAAGGAAAAGTTATTGATATAAATAAAATAATTTACCATTAAAAAAAGTTATTGATACTAAGGAGAGATAGAGGACTATAATGTTCATTATTAATATAACTTAAAAAAAAAGTTCAACATTGTCAGCCATCGGGAAATGCAAATTACAACCATGATGAGATGTCACCGCACACCTGTTAGAATGGTTGACATTGAAAATAGTGATAACACCAGATACTGTAGTTGTCTCTTAGGGTTTTCTTTTTGAATATATACTACGCACCATTGTTTGCACTATGATTTCACTAGAGATTGTCCTTACACATTTTATAAATGTTCATAATATATAGCACTCTTCAGAATAAAGACAAAAGGGATAATCTTGTCTCAGTTTTAGGAAGACAGATTTTTAGTTTTTTACTTTGTTTTGTTTTTCTTCTTTCTTTCCTCCAGTTCTTCATTGATTTGCTCAGTAAATTTAATAACCCTCTTTAAAACTTATTTTCTCATGTATTATTATTTTGGGACCTTTGTAGTTGACTTTTCCCCAGTTAGGTTTATCAGCAAATGCCCTTCAGCAGCTGGTGTCATTGTTTTTAGATTTCTATAACTTTAATTAATTTCGTGTTTATCACCAGGGTTTTTTTCATCTAGAACATCTAAATTCAATTTTTTTCTCTCATTAGTCTCAATAATTTGAAGAAAATTTTCTAGTGAATATTGGGTGACTACTTTTCTGAAAATTTATTACCACCAAATGTCTTCCAGGTGGCTTAGAAGAATGATAGTCTCATAGCTGGAGTGTGTAAGAGTTTGTTTGGGAGTCTGGCTGTGCAACCCTGTAATCCAGCCAGATTCTGTTTAGCAGGAGAACCAAAGGGTGACTTCACAAACAAAGGGAAAGGCTTTGCCTTTAGGAGGCTCCTTGTATGGTGTCAGTCAGTCATAATTTGCTAGGAGCCATCTTCCCCCCAGATCCTAGTGGAAGATCAGAGAATATCTACAGTAGTGCTGTCCAAATAGAGCATTCCGTGATGCTGGAAATGACCTCTGTCTGCACTGTCCAGCACACATAGCCACTGGCCACATGTGACTATTGAGCGCTTCAAATGTGGCAAGTGTAACTGAGGAACTGAATGTTTAAATTTAATTAATTTAAATTAAATAGCGTCATGTAGCTAGTAGCTAGCATACTGGACACTGCAGATCTAGAGGGTTTGATGGGACCAGCAAGGGCTTTGGAATTGTAGAGATCTGGACTGAAATCCAGGGGCTGCCACTTCCTAATTTTGTGATCTTGAGCTAAGTATTTAACTTCTGAGTACCATTTTTGGTTTTCAACAAATGGGACTAAAATTAATACCTACCTTTAAGAGTTATAAGAATTACAGGGAATCTACAGTATTTGGTACATTGCTCAGTATGTAGTAGATGCTCAATAAATGATAGCTATTGTTAATATTATTATGTTTACTTGCTTTTATTTCTACCTTTGGCATAAATCCTGTGAACTTATATTTTCCTGATAATCCCAAGTAATAATCTCTCTGTAAGATTAGGAATTTCAGAGCCGTTTTGGGTAGAGGGCCCTGTCCTGAGAACTGGTGATAAAGGTGACCCTGGGCCTCAAGGGCGCAGGTGCAAGGCCTGTCCTTTCGGGAGATAGGACAGGGGATT